GAGGTGCGACCATCAATTCAGACGCGTACATTATGACCCTGGAAACCCTCAAGAAGCGTTTCCGACGAGTTCGGCCTCACAAGCTTCCAGCAGAAATTTTGCTCCTGCATGACAATGCACGCCCTTACACAAGTCCGAGAACCCGGGAAGAAATCACCAAATTTGGTTGAACGGTGCTGCCCCATCCACCCTCCGACTTTCATCTCTTTGGGCCACTTAAAGATGCTATCCGCGGAACAAGGTTTGAAGATGACGAGAGCGTTATTCAAGCAGTGAGGACATGGCTACGTGCACAGGACAAGAGCTGGTACCGGCAAGGCATGCATGCACTTGTTCCACGCTGGCGTAAAACCGTACAAGTTGATGGGGACTATGTGGAAAAATAGTATGTGTAAAGGAAACATTCATTTATATTGTCACTAAATTTCAGCCATCTTGAATAAATATATTCTGAGGAAAAAAATGTGGGGCATTACTTAATGAGCGACCCTCGTACTTTAAATTGCAAAAGTCACTGTGCTCTGCAATCATTGTCCTACAGTACAGCAACTACGACGTAAGTCGACACGTGGATCCACACGTGCACATTCTGCCATAAAGTAACAGCGCATGCGCGGACGTTGCTGCTCTAAAGTTTGTCTCTGTTCATTCGTGGTGCGCTCTATCCATGATGCTTTAGTTTTTTGGTAGGCCACCAGGAGCAGTGAACAATTTGTGGAGATATGCCACGCAATCGTTAGCTAGCTGACGATTTAAGGGGAAAGAAGCAACGCGTGACGCAGTACGAAAGAGTTCACAATCTACAGTTCTATTAGCTATTTGCTGTCTCAATAATTTTTATAGCATTTTATAAACTTGGCATCCGAAAAATTTACGCCGTTCCCAGAAGCCACAATAACCTAGGATGTTCTTAGAATTTATCAGCGATTACTGGCATTTACAAATTAAAACAAGAACATGTATTAATGATGCGAAACTCAGGCAGATTATACATAAATAGATCGGGCTTCATTCGGGTTGGCATAAAAGGAAGTCGGCTTGGGTGAAGCACGGATAATACATTTGAAGAGAAACTTAGGGCTTAGGCCAAATGCTCTTCGGGCCAGGATGAATGAAATTCTAAAATTTCGTCCCGTGCAGACCTCTAGGGCGAACGATGGAGGAAATGTATGTTTCAGTCCTGAATGATATTTATTTATCGGCCGGGGCGTGACGCTGACCACTCACCCCCATCCAGTGCCGAGGTTAAGAATAAGTAGGAGCTATACCTCCTCTCCCCACCAAGCGCCTACATGGCGTATGGTGGGACAGATTTACTTTTTTACATCTCATCTATGGCACAAAATTTGGGTTCAGGAAAAGCAGATAACAAGCTATACATGAATGTAATATGTATCTAAATATAATACCTTGCCCCAGAATAGGGCAGGCATATGGGAACTATATATATAACAGAGGTTTCCAAAGTGTGGGGCGCGCCCCCCTGGGGAGGGGAGTGTTGTTTGTATGAAAAACTTTTTTAACGAAATGTGGAGAAGCATTTTTAACATCCTTTGCTTGGTTGAGGCAGTTTAGTTGTCTTACAGTGCTGTAGAATTCAGACTCGTAGAGCATCCGCGGTTTTAGGAAATAAACGGCAATATACGTAAGTCTAATTATACCTACGATGAACCTGGAAAAACGACCTTAGAGTGGCCATTTCAAAACTCCAACCTCGGTATGATAAGTAATGTTCACAGAAGCAACCACATCCATTCCACTAATCCAGGCATAAAGCGTATATTTTATTACAGTTTTTTAAATTAAATTCATTGAATAATATATACTAAATTATAAAAAAATGTACACTCATAGCTAAATTTCATGTCAAATCTGTTTGCTTGCACTTGTTCTGGAAGGGGGCGTAAAATTTATGAAATGTTTTAAGGGGGGCTCAAGGTATAAAAGTTTGGGAACCTCTGATATATAACATTTACTGATTAAACTATCGACGATAAACCAGCGTGTGTATGTTTATTTATTATGAATTCTAATTACGAAAGATAAGACGTTGTCTTTTTCTGCCTGTAAAGTGCTATAAGTTCTTTTAAAATGTTACTGTACACCTAAAACCTTGTGGCGACAAATCGGTTGCGGGACACAGCTCTATACAACATTGGTTCCCAAAATATTTTTCTGGCGCCATTTTTAAATACAAAAAGTATATCCCACCATACACTGTTTTATATTAATAATCATAGGCGGTGATGTATGATGCATTTTAATATTGTTATACGTGAAAACGTACATATATTCAATTAAATTCGACCCTCGATTTTCCATGGCTTCTCGCCTACGTTAACCATATGCTACCCAGAGAAATACTACCTTACGCCAATCATTGAAGCAGAGAGTAAAAATATCTAACCGTTCTTACTCAGCTGGAAGGATGGGCCTGCAAGTTTGAAAGTAGATGACTCAACCTCGCTTTCAAGGTGAAGGCGTTTACGGTAATTCGATTTAACCGCTGCCATTGCTGAAAATTATTTCTCACACAATGTGAAAATGTTGTAACATCTCCGTGGCTAGTTGTGAGACTTCCAAGTATTATATTTTATATAAATCCAAAATTCAGAAAGAAACAAGGTTTCAAACTTCATCTAGAGAGATGTATCACAGGGAAGTCCCATCAGACATTCCATTGGATTCTGTACAAAGGTGACTTACTTTCTCACCGATTGTGACTGCAAATGGACTTCGCATTCGCTTATGTTGCACTTAGTTCTGGAAAGCGAATCTTAGAATTGCTCTCGAGATTAGTGAGATGATTCAGAACATTCCTAAAATTCGTAATCTTCTACGTATTCACTAGTGTTGACAAACATTTCTAGGGTGTCGCTTTCATAGCGACTTTTCCAAAGAACCGTATTTTTATTATTGCCGAAACTTCTTCAAAAGCTGAAAAAGTTTACATTTTGACGTTGAATACAGGTGGTTGGTACGTTCAGCTTATAAAATATATCTGGCTGATACGAGAAAAAAGTAAGCCACGTCTTATTTTTAAAATGTTCGTACAGTGGACAAACAGAGTCCTGTAAAACCTTCATACTACTTTTAATTCAACTAATCGTTGATAACCACATCGCCTCGGAATGCAAGACTAGAGGCTTTTAGTCTGCCTGAATTTTCTCACAAAGTTTGATAGGCGAGCTTTTACAAAGTTCACTTTCATGATCTCTTGCAGCACACCATGCCACTTTGGTTCATGGTTACAATAGTCTAAAGCCTGTCTATAAATGACACACTGTACGTATTTCCTTATTTTTGTTTAAATTCTTAATGTCGTTTCTAATTGCTTGTATTAACCACTTATAACCTAGAACGATCGACATTTGCCCTGGGGTGACAGTAAAATCACGAACCTCTATCTGGATAGTCCATCTACGCTCCGAGATTTGGACCCGGCGCATCCTAAATATGATGTAGAAGTTCCAACTGCTGGGTGACGTTCGGTTCGACGAAGGTGAAAAATATAAACCATATAAACACAGCCCGGACACTCCAGCCGAACACAATTTAGGAATGTTACAATACTGTAATTAGATTTCCATATTTCCACTTTGCGTGACATCAAATAGTTCATGTGGCCGCCGACACTCGGCAGCACGTGTAACTCACAGTCATGGTAGATATCAGCACAGTAAGGTGACAGGCTGATAATAATTCATACCGTGCATGATAGATGGCAGCATTAATAGGTTTTCATGCAACTAATACCAAGCAGCTGATGAAGTTCATGTCTCGCAGATACAACAACGATAAGTTATGACGTCATCACGTATTTCACAGTCTTACTGCACAGTTTAACATGCAATTTGGCTGTTAGCCAATGTACGAGTACTGAGTTTCCTTTAACGATACAAAATCTCATGAAAATTCGTTGAAATTGTAAGATTATGAGGTGTAAATATCAACGATGTTACCGAAAGTGAATTGGCGAAGTTTTGTTGGACTTGCGGTTTAACAAATAAAAATTAAACTCAGAACGGGTTTAAGCGTCACGAAGTATGAAGCTCAGATAGAACGCGGAGGAGGACGAGTCACCAATATGTTGCAAAAAATCTATCCGATAAAACTAAAATTGTATTAATACGTATAGTGTGTGAAGTGTGTAAATATTGTAGAGCATTAGCATTTAATGCTGAAAAAAGACGACCTGTTTATAACTGCAGTCTCAAAAGAAATATGATATTCATTAAACAAAATCTTCTTGGGCGCTCAGCCGCGACAAAAGTTTATACGAGTAGACCAACGTTTCGGAAACCGTCTCCCGTCTCCATCATCAGGGTTCTGATGTCATTAGAACCTCGATGATTGCCCGAGAAGATTTTATTGAGGACCAAAAATTCAAACTCACAATTTTCATTGCAGCTACGAAACAGGTAATGGCATCTCAGCTCGAGAAGAGGGCTTCCTGAAGAACGCGGGCAACCCAGAGACAGAGGCACAAGTCGCCCAGGGCCAGTTTTCCTACATTGGGGACGACGGCATCCCCATCAGCCTGACTTACACGGCAGACGAGAACGGCTTCGTACCTCAAGGGGCCCATCTGCCTACGCCGCCTCCCATACCACCGGCAATCCAACGCGCACTGCAGTTCCTGGCCAGTCAGCCCGAATACAAGGAACCTCAGCCACAGTTTGGATTCAATCAAAATAGGAGAACGAATTTTGGACGAAAGTGAGGAACATCCTCTCAATTCCGTATTGTTTCAGGCAGAGCACTGAATATCTTATTAACTAATACTTCTAGCAGACGAATTAAAAGTTCGGTGGAAAAAAAATAACGGAATGCAGCCATGCAGAAATGTCTTGTATTTCTTCAAAATATCATCAAAGACTTGTGAAAAAATTATTTATATATACATTGTTTTCAAGCCCGTGGATAGAATTGATTTCTTTACGAACTAGGTTGACGGTAGACACTCCAGATGATTATAAAACATGTACATTAGCAAATTCCTTCATCAAATTATCGTTGTTGAGAACTGCAGTTATTATTATGTACTATAAATTCGTTCGTTACAATAGCTCTGTAAGTAAAATACACGGTCATTTCTCGTCCAACTCATTCCGTAACTAAATTCATCATTATTTCTCTGCACGAGTCTAAAGTGTTTATAATATACATATAAGTGACGGTGCAAATTATTATTACATTTATGTCAGCAGTGCGAACACCACGTCCATTATTATGGAACATCAGTACCTCGGACACGTGGTCCTATGTTCTCCAGCTCTTGTAACAAGTTCTTTGGTATTTGCAAGCAATGACACCCACGCGTTGAACACTTTCTGGAGATAATTGTGTCTACAACCGCTATTAATATTAAATTAACGTCCGTAACATGTTTCCGGCATGAGATCAGATTCTTGTCTTCTTGAATATCAAAACTGTAAAACCAATGTTTCGGCGTAACATGCTGCCTCAGTCATCAGGGGTGAAGTTCTCAACTCCTGCTACTCTCCCGTACTTGGTTGTACATCTTTTCGTCTGCCGTGACTATTGATGTGTTGATGTAATCTTATCCTGTTCATTTAAACAATGAAGCAATGAGGAAGCACGTACTTCGATCGATGGTTTCTTCCTATAGAACACGGCATCGCAACCCAGGAAGGCCGCAATCTGCATCATCCTTCCCTTTATCAGTCGTAACATTCTACAGCTTCTGCGATCTCTTACTAGAATGTAGCAATAAAATGTAAGCAGAATGTTTTCTGACTGCCGTACGTGTTAAGACGAACATTCGACAACTAACACTGATATAAATTGGTAAGGTATTTATTTCGAATTATGCTATTGTAATATTGGTCTTCTGATGTGAATTTACTTCATTGGTTCGAATAAAAATCATAATTATTAGTAGTACTTTTTCAGTGATATCCGTACCATACTATTTCCAAACCGGACAATATAGAAAATTAATGACATAGCCTACCGTCGAGATTTTCTGAATGCCCATGGTATGATTGTGACACTAGATGACAATCATGCACTCATTTATAAGAAACAAAATACTTAAAGCAACGATTGAATAAATTAATATCTTTCATAGCTTAAAAATACGCAAGTTATTAATTTATCGTTACTGAAGACAAACTAAGAAATATGCATTGTTATTCGAATGCGGCTAAAATATTGTAGTAGTGTAGTACAAAACTATTTATTCATTTTGAATTTGCACAATTCAACACTTCTCTTCGACAAAATTGAGAAAATTACTATCATATATTTCGCGTTCCATAGCTTACATTTGTGTTGTGTGGTTAAGTAAACTTGTCTCTTAGAACGCAAGTTCTTTACTATTCATCTGGCATACAACATAGTCTACACTCAATATTCAGCTTTATAACAGCCTATAAACATGGTTCTAAACCTATAAGCAAAAAATTACCCTTTTTAAAACTGTTCATCAAACGAGACTACAATTCAAACAGCAGAGCCAATCACTGACATCATACTTAATATTATACATTTATATACATATTACATAAAAACGACGACATGGACTTTAAGTTTTTTCAAATTAATTAAAATAGAAAAATGTATACATTCAAAATACTTCCCCAAGAAACCAATGTTTTCATACATTTACACTCTGACCATACAAAGAGTCCTCCTTCATTCACGTTCAGAACAGAATCTCCGCTGTTATGACTAAAGCAGAATGTAATGTATCTGTATTTTGTTCGCGTGTTGCCTAAGGTTATTTTGCTCGGTAACATGATTTTTAGTAAGCATCCACATTTGTGAACCTTTTATATCTTGTATTATTGTTAACAGAATAAAATAAAAATTGTGTACAGAATTCCTTTAATTATCGACCCACAATCATAAAATCTTATTATTCATATGTTCATACTGATAAAAGCAATATGAACGTTTCGGAATTTTTCACTCTTCCTCAACGAATTGCAATATTTGTGTTCCTAGTAAAATAATTTCTCTTTAACAGGGAATATCTTCTTTGGTGTACTAGTGGCTCACTCTCTGCTGTCATTGCCTTTAATCCCCAATCTCCTTCCCTCGTTCCATCTTCCTTCCCAATCCCTTCCGTTTGTCAGTATCAAACGCCGTTCTCAAACTTCCATGGTTCCGGATTAGTTCACACCTCGCATCACCTCAACAAACCAAAGTCAACCAAACAAACAACGGGTCGAGTCCGCCCCAAGTTCAAGGCATCGTCGAAATAGCAGGTAAAGTAGCCTCCACCGTTTTCGGCCACTGACCTTGATGGGAGAGTCCAGTGTGCGGACCACTCAATGAAGGACGGAAGATGGAGGGAAGGAAGCAATTAATTGTGCCACTTGTTTCCGTCAGTCAGTGCAGCAGTGTGGAAGTCTGATATTCTTGTCTTGTGACTATGCTGTGTTAACAACATGCCACCTGTTCGTTTCAAACCCCATTCAGGTCATTAAGCCACTTTACACGGCTGGTAGACCGAGAAGAATTTATTATACTGTGTCGCCATGAAATCGGAGCTGTTCCGCGCAGTGTTAGAAGTCTGTAAAGATTATAGAATGTACTTATGCATATTTAACGTTGTCTGTGTTACAGACAGGTGTTTTGTCCTTATACGTATATAACAGTCCGGCATTCAGCTTCCAGGCAATGAAACGTGCTCTAAGTATCACTCACCTGATTTTACGTCTTCATCTTCAAGTCCGACCGCAAGATGGTACGCAGGGAGCAGAAATGTCCAGAAAAAATCGCATGCTTCTATTGCCACTGCTCTTGAATTTTGCCCAATACATTCCTGTTCTTGTACTTAAGCTTGCTTGATGTGTCATTCTTGCCAACAGGAAAGTAAAAATAAAATTGGCGTGTAAAATAACAGCGTGTATGAAGTGAAAATGTTCGCAAAAATATAG